CCAGGGGAGAGTCCTCCATATGACACCCATGGCTGAAGCTTCCCAGGGGAGAGTCCTCCATATGGCACCCATGGCTGAAGCTTCCCAGGGGAGAGTCCTCCATATGACATATGGCATTCTGGGAAATGGAGTTTGTTGTGGCACCAGATCACTCTGGTAGAGAAGGCTAAATGTTTTACACAATAACAAACCCCAGGATTCCATAACTTTGACCCATGGCAGTTAAAGTGGTGCCAAACTGGATTATTTCTGCAGTGCGGATTCAGCCTCTGTGACCTTTCTGCTTTGTGCTCAGGTTTCTGAACTCCACTGCCATTTGTTAGGCTGAGTGCTTGGATGGACAACCACAATGGGTTGATATTTTCACTGAATGGCAAAGGGTGTCCTTGGCAATGACCAATCCACCTACCGGTGCAGGGCTGAGACAGAATATGGAGAAAGAACGAGCTTATAGCCAGACTGAAAGCAAGCCTTGTAGTCGTTGACAGAAGAAAACTGGAAGAACACACTTTTTAGCATTATGATTTTCACACTTTTCGAAATGCAGTTTAACCCTGTGCATGCTTATTTGGACATACTGACCAACTCATACTGACAACATCTTAAGAAAGCTCCCACAAATAATGGTACAAAATAGGACCGTGATTTATGGAGGGGTGAGGGATTGTCTTAACCAGGGGTAGGCAACCTTTTTGAGCCGGGGGCTGGGTTGCTGTCCCTCAGACAATTGGGGGGCCAAAGCACAATAAATAAATAAATAAATAAATATAAAAGTAAAAATAAAAAAAATTTATCTTAACTAAACAGGTGAATGGTTAGAACATTTGTGAAAGCATCAGAGGCAGAAATTCCAGGCCAATGCTGCAGTGGCAGAGATTCTGCTCCTTTTTCAGAACTGAATTTTGTAAAAGGAATTTGGGTTTTAGCTTTGGGAGCATAATATGATAACACCAAAGCAAGGTAAGAGCCAATGGTTCAAGCATTGAACTATGAAATTGGAAGACCAAATTTCAAATCCTTGCTCACTATGGAAACTTTTGGGTAAGTCATACTCTCTCAGCCTTGGAGGCAAAGTCAACCTCTTTGCTGGATAAATCTTGTCAAGAAAATTTCATGACAGATTCGCCTTGGGGTTCCCATAAGTCAGAAATGACTTAAGGAACACAACAACAAAGCAAGGGAAGTACCTTGGAGGAGCAGAGTGGGCTTCCAGAGGAGAAACCAAAGAAAGTTTGGAATATTTGCCTTAAGACATGGTTCTTGCAACTAAGAGTAGACTGTAGTTAAACTAGACTAGACCATATTTTCCCATATGAACCTCGCAGAGTTTTAAGGTCATCA